GCAGTAAGCCCTTCACCCTCCTGTCCTCATCCTGTACTAGTAAGATGTCCAGGCAAGCTCAGAGGCATACCTGGTAATTCTCCTACCTCTACACTGCCATGATCACAAATCATTTTGAGACAGGGTTTCTTCATGTAGTTTTGGAACCTGTCCTGAAACTAGCTTTGTAGCCAGGCTGGCCTAGAACTCACAGGGATCCGCCTGCCTCTGCCTCCCAAGTACTTGTATTAAAGGCATGCGCCACCACTGCCCAGCCTCACCTGGGTCTCTTAAACTACTTTTCTTTTGAGAAAAGGCCTCACTCTGGAGTCCTGACTGGCCTGAAACATGCTATGTAGACCAGGCTAGATTCAAACTCACAGAGATTCACTTGCCTCTGCCTCCTGAGTGTATACCACCACAACTAGCTTAAACTGTTTTATAATTCCCCTTGTGTCTTAGTCACTGTTCTATTGCTGTGAAGAGACATCATGACCAAGACAACTCTTATAAAAGAAAACATTTAGTTAGGGGATTCTTATAGTTTCAGAGCGAGTCCATGACCATCGTGGTGGTGAGCATGACAGCAGGCAAGAAGGCATAGCTGAGAGCTTACATCCTAATCTGTAAATTGGAGGCAGAGAAAGAGAGAGACTGACTCTGGCATGGTCTTTTAAACCTCAAAGCTTACCTGTAGCATGATTTAAAAAAAAAAAAAAAGAGAGACAGAAATTGGGTTTCAACCTGAAAACCAGAAAAGCAAAGCAGTCAAGCCACTAAAGAAGCCTTACCTTTACCAAGGCTGGGCAACCACAAACTAGACAGACAGCCTCTCTCTCCCTTCATTTTATATTCCCTCTAGTGCTGGGATTAAGAGCATATGACTCCCTAGTACTGGAATCAAAGACGTAGGCTGCCATCACCTGGATTTATTTTTGCATTGATCTTGTGTAGCCCAGGGTAGCCTTGAACTCACAGAGATCCTTATGACTCTATGCCCTAAATCTTGGGATTAAAGACATGTATCACCATTGCCAGACCTCTAGTGGCTTTAGCTTTGCCTCTGGTCTTCAGGCAGATGTATTAAAATACAAATAATAGACCACTACACTTACCCCTCCAATAAGACCAAACCTCCTAAATCCTTCCAAAACAGTTCTGCCAACTAGGGGCAAACATTCAAATATGAGTCTATGGGGCCATTCTCATTCAAACCACTGCTCTCCACTCTCCTGTGTCTGGTGCTCCATCTCAGGGAGCCAGTTTTGTCGGCAGTCCTGTCCCACCAACATCCCTACCACTAGGGATTCCCCTGCAAAAAAATGATAGTAAAGTGATGCATGAGCTGGGTACTGTATCTGAGAGCTCTGTGCTCCTCTGTTGGTCTCCATCTCCAGCATAAATTGTCCCTTTGTCAAACAACTCCCCTACCATTTACTTCATGTTCCATTTATTCATTGCTGGGAGCCCGTGTAGCAAGCTGGAGGGACTTTCTGCTTTATATCCACCTCTGCATGAACAGATATTTATAAGCTGTTTTTGGAAAAAATCACAAGCTCCACCAGGAAGCTCTACTCACCTTAGTGTCTTATGATGAAGGCTACAATTTGGTCCCTGGGTTGGTGTCCCGTATCAGAATAAATTTAGCTAGCACCCGTTGAGTTTCTTTCAAGTTTTCATAGAATTAGCTCTTGGCTAGCAAAACCCATCACTATTGTTGCAGCTCTCCCTGGATTCTAGCACTCATTGTTCCTTTTCCAGCTATCTGCCAGCAGCAAGCATTCCATGGCAGATAATATCTGGCCCCTATCCTCTAGAAAGCCTGGGAGAAGTGTGACTTTGGCTCTTGTATTGCCACTGGGCACCCTGCCAGGCCATGTTTAGTTAAAGAAACTTGACTTCTAGGGCTAGTCTCGGGACTCCAGATTCAAACCTGAGCACAAGACTAGATCTTCTTGGAAAGGATTATATAAAGCCTAAGCTCAGTCTCCTTAGTTCTCCTTCACAAGCTTCTGTGAAACTACAGAGAACAGATTCAAAAGTCTGGTCTGAGGGTTGATCTTGGCCAAGCCAGCCACTTGTCACCTCAAGGCCTACAGGAACTCCTACAAAGCTCCAGGACCACTATGGCTCCCAAGTCAGGTCATTCTCTGACTGAGGGTGGGAGGCAGGGTTGGGATACTGGGTGGACCACTTCCTACTCCCTGTAGAGCCCTAGGTTTACCTCTTCTTGTTAATATCCTGACTCTGTACCTGAGCAATAGCAATAGTCCCTCTAGATCTAGAGCCCTAACTGACTCCCCTATTCACTGCTCTTATCTTCTCTAGGTGGCAAAGCAACAGAAGGAATCTGAGTCCACCCAGAAGGCCGAGAAGGAGGTGACGCGCATGGTGGTGGTGATGGTCTTTGCGTACTGCCTCTGCTGGGGGCCCTATACTTTCTTTGCATGCTTTGCTACCGCCCACCCTGACTATGCCTTCCACCCTCTTGTGGCCTCCATACCATCCTACTTTGCAAAAAGTGCCACTATCTACAACCCCATTATCTATGTCTTTATGAACCGGCAGGTAAGCAAGAGATCAAAATCAAAATGGTCCATAACTCAGTGAAGGTTCTTACCTCGAATCAAGTCATCAATGAGAAAGCCTTGTGGAGAACCTAGGGGTTGGGGTTGATGATGCTCCTCCAAGAAAATGAGTGTGGAAAGGCTCTGCATGTAACCCACACTGACCATTCCTCCTCTCAACCATGAGCTCTGGAATCTTTGCACTGTCTCCACCTGAGTCTGCTACTCAGGTGCAGGACACTGCAAGTTCTTCCCTTCTGGTGACCCCACAATGACGGGCAGAAATCTTCTAAAAGGGCCGCTATAATTCAGATGTACTAAGCACTCAGTGAGCACACAATGACCCTAGCTAGTCCTGTTCCTCTTCTGTTTACAAACTCAACTCTAAATTTTTCCATTTTCAAACCTTGACTTTGGGATATTTGCCTCCTTAAAAGTTTAGACTTTCTTGGCTACACTAGCTAAGAGGTCAAGAGCTTTTATGCTTTTATTAGATCATTAATTAGTTCAGAGAAAGTGTGCTATGGCTTTGCCCAAAGTCTTGTCTGATGGCAACCATCCTTAGCTGCCATATTGGACTTTAACACAAGTTGTTTATGACTCTTAGATCCTCCTACTAGATTACAGGTAAACCTGAAGAAGTTCATCACCTCTTGAGTGCCATTTGCTTTCCTCTTCCTTGAATTCATCACATGCACTTCATTAAGGGACATTTACCATGTGAGTTATTAGTAATCAGAAGTGTTCACTGAGGTCTTTCATTTCATCAGACTGTGAGTCCTTCAAATTGACTCCTCTTTCCTCTACCATCTTCCTTCCTCTACTGCTTACAATGGAACACAGGGCCTGGTGCATGCCAGGCAAGTGCTCCATCCCAGATATTCTCTGCCAGAAACTGAAAGCCGTCCTAGAAAGAGTTGCTTGTTAAAGACAGGAAACAAAGGTGGGCAGGTGTGCAAATTTCGCTTTCACTCATTCTGCTATATTCCAAGAATATTGGAACAGTAGATTCCATTCTTGTTCAGAATAGAGTCAGGCATGAAGTGAGAACTCGGTAAGTAGATGCTGAATGAATTTCTTGCCTTACTTGCCAGTTTTTCAGCCAAGTCTATGTTGTTATTTAGCCCATCTCTAATGTTGTCAATGTCAACACGTGTTTTCATTTCAAAAGCTTTAATGTTAGAGGGAATGGAGATAGTCACAAATAGAACTGAAATTAAGTGACATTTTTAGTTTGGGCTCTCAAAGCTTTGTTTGTAGTTTGGGCTCCTTAGATGGCATTGGTTTGGTCACTGCCTAAGTATCATAAAGCTACCACAATAAATTCCACAAGCTTTGTGACTTAAAACAACAGACCTATAGCTCAGTGGCAAAGTACTTGCCTAGTACACACAAAGTCCTAAGCTAAATTTCTAGCGGTGCAACGAACAAACAAGCAAGCAAAACAAGAAAATAGGAATTAAGTTTCTCACAGTTCCAGAGGCGAGAAATCTGGGGTCTAGGAGTCAGCATTATTATTGTTCCTTCTGGGGGTGCTAAGACAGTAGCAGTCTTGTGTCTCTCTCCTAGTTTTCCTTGTCCTACGAATCACAGACATGCTACCCCAATATTATTCTTCACATAGCTATTTCTCTGTATGTGTAGTGTTGTCTAAATCTTCCTCTTCTAACAAGAACACTGGTCACTGGACTAGTGACAATGCTTATCCAATATGACCTCATATTAACATATATGTGCCAGTTCCAAAAAAGGCAGTCACAGGTTCCAGTAATTAGGATTTGGTATTTTTTAGGACTGGTCACAATTCAACTAGACTCACCATTAACCACTAAATTAGATAATGCAGAACTCCTGCATTCATATGTATAAAGAATGAGCTGAGCCTTCCTCATCCCACTCATGGTATTCTCAATGGGAGAAGGGAAGGTTTACAACCACTAAGTGACAGTACCATGTTCCAAGCTTCACCTTTCGCATGGTGCACTAGCCCTTTCTGCTTTGCTGAATAATGCTTTCTGTCCTTCTAGTTTCGAAACTGCATCTTACAGCTCTTTGGAAAGAAGACTGATGATAGCTCTGAACTTTCCAGCACCTCCAAAACAGAAGTCTCATCTGTCTCTTCAGTGTCGCCTGCATGAGGTCTGCCTCCAACCTGTCCCATCCACCAAAGCTTTGGCCTCCCTTCTCCTCCATCCTTGTGAAATAAACATAATTTCCCCATGCCCAATCAAAGTCCCAGAGATGGCTACTACAGTTTGGGGTTATTTAAGCTACTGGGTGATCAGGCACCAGACCTGGAGACAGTACAATGTAGATAAAGAGACCAGAACATATGGTTTCTTTCACTTTAATCCAATCCCCATGTCTACAGATATTATGAAAAGATCATGGAAAACTTGAAGGAGAAGGCAAGTTGGCATCTGCATGTATCGCACTGGGCAGGTGGTTACAGAATTAAGAAAGTGACAGTAACAAAGTAGCTTTCTAGGGAAGGCTTACTGGATGCCCTCAACATCTGGAAAGAGGGAAGTAATGAACAAATTCAGGTGGATGATACTCCTTGCCCATCAGTGTACATCTAATTGAGGCTTAGCATCCTTGAAGTCTGGTCTCCACTTAAAGGGGATCCAGGCCTGCCAGTCCGTGATGGAGATGATATGCCGCTTCTGCCACACAAAGGTCCCAAGGCCAATTAACACTAACAGAGTGAACACGCGCAGGCGTGAATTGAGCAGTGGCAAGGGACAAGAACACAAGGTAGAGACCAAGACCAAGAGGATAGTGGTCAGTGTGAGAAGCAGGCTTATGAATCTGAACAAAAAGTCTTTGGGACGGGTTCTGACACTGGCCATCATCTCCAGTTGAGTAGCTTGCTGTAGAGTTTCTAGTTTGGTTATTCTGCTCTTGAAAGTCTCCATTACATCCTGTAGGTAAAAAAACATATATTCTCACCAGAAGAACGAACAAAAATGTACTTATCTAATTTAGTAAATTCATTTGCTTAGGGGTGTTCAAAAAGTACTGTTGAGACACTTCTTTTTCTGCTTTATCTCTCTCTTTTTTCTTATTTATTTAAGATAAGATCTCCCAGTATAGTTCCAGATGACCTGAAACTTGTTATGAAGACAAGGCTATTCTCAAACTCAGAGATCTGCTTGCATCTTACTCCCAAGTCCTGGGATTAAAGGCCTGTGCCATCCCACCCAATGAGTTGAATCTTTTAGGAAAGATAGAACTTCTAGGACATACACAGAGAAGACAAACAGTTACTGTGGAGCGCTAGGCTCAGGGGTCCTGGTCCTTGTCTATTGCTGAGACTGAGGACCTAGGTAGGAGCTATGAGTGTGAAAGGACTGAGGGGCAGGAAGCTAGACCCAAAAAGGAGGTTCCCAGAAGCTTCCCCTCTACCAGCATCGCAAATATCTCAGTATCCCTTGGACTTGTCAGGCTTTACCCCTGAGCTTTAGGTCACAGACTCCAGGCTATGGTGAAGCATTAATCTAATTAATCTTAATCAATGAAAAACCGGGAGTCAGATAAAAACCTTGAAGATCAAAGAACCAGGAGCAGCTGCCAGTTGTTTCCTTCCTCTCTTGTTCCTCAGTCCAAAGAAGCCAAAATCCTGTCTCTATCTCCTGAGTGCAAGGATTAAAGGTGTGTGCCACCACTACCCAGTTTCTATGGTTAACTAGTGGCTAGCTCCACCCTTTGATCTCCTGGCAAGCTTGATTTGTCAGGACACAAACAAAATATCACACAACACTATGGCTTAGTAATTGCCCCTACAGGATCAGAAGCACAGTCCAAAGTTCACAAAGCAGCTTGGCTGCATGGTGAGAAGTGGAGCTCATACAGACATGCAAGGTAGACACTACTGGTTCTAAAGCAAAGGTGCAGGTTACTACTGCACCATCAGGGCAGGCACAGTTAGAAGATCTTCTCTTGCTTTGGCTTGGGAGCATACATGCCCCCTTCCCCCAGCCCTTTCTCCCCCAGACCCTCACCCATATTTCCTTAGCTCTTTCATAGGACAAATAGGCCATTTTCTCTTCAGTGCATGCCAAATGCTGTTTAAGGTGGCAAATCTCATTCAGGTATCTCTGCAAGTGATCATTCACCTGTTCTTCCATCAGTGATTGTCTAGAAAGTAAGAGAGAAAATAACATTCCCTCTGTAGCTTACTCAGAGCTCATGCTGGCAGGGAGTACGCTGCAGCTGGATTTACTACCCCCACCCGCACCACACCGCCCACTAGAACTCAGTCAAAGATGACTGCTTCTTCTACCTCTGCCTGGGAACAGTTATACTAATATATATTATTTACAATTACCCTCTAGTAACAGTTTTACCAAATGTTCCATAGACTAGAAAGAAAAGAAAATTTAAGCTATCAAATCCCCCAAACATTACCAGGAGCAGTGTTGAGGATTCAGTAGTTACTCCATAAATGCATATCTATTATAGAGCATGGAAAGTCACAAAAGATCACAGAGTCAGTTCCATTTGTATGTCCATAAACATGAACAAATAAGTGGGTGCCAGGAGCTAAGAATCAGGGTGACAAGGAGTGACTGCTAATACGGTTTATTTTTTTCAGAGGTAATAAAAAAGTGAGGTTAGATAATGGATTAACTGTGAATATACTAAAACCCCACTAAAACTGTGTACATGGGTGGGAGAGACAGAATTTCACTCTGTAATATAGGTTAGCATTGAACTTGTGATCCTCCTGCCTCTGCCTCCTGAGTGCTGGGATTACAGGCATGTATGACTAAACCAAGCTGAATTGTATACTTTAAATGAATAAAATAAAAAGGATGTGAATTATAATTGCAAGCATTGGATTGTATTAATGGTTACACAACTCAGTAAATTTAATGAAAACCACTGAAATGCAATTAAAATGGTGCATTTTATGACATGCAAATTATATCTCAACACAGATGTTCAAAAAATACAAGCAAAAATACTACCTGTTATGTATACAAACATAAATAAGAAAGTATTATAGCACGCATGGAAGAGATTAGCACCCCACTGAGGGTAGTGAGGTCAGACAAAGAACCTGGAGAAAAAGGTACCAGGAGAAATGATTAGTATCCCATTGAGGGTAGTGAAGTCAGACAAAGGACCTGGAGTAAGAAATACCAGGAGAGTGCCTGCCTCTCTCTCTCTCTCTCTCTCTCTCTCTGTGTGTGTCTGTCTGTCTGTCTGTCTGTCTGTCTGTGTGTGTCTGTGTTACTGTGGATGAAACCTGAAGTCTTGCAAAAACTAGGCAAGCACCTGACCATTGAATTGCATCCTAGCTCATACAACTGAATCTTTTGAAGTTTTATTTCTTCTTTTTAAAAGGCTTTGAAGGAAATATGTGGCAAGTGTTAAGATTTTATTTACAACAGAAAAACTTTTTTGAAGGACAGGCCAGAAAACAGGCTACCAAAGAGGACTCCCTGATCCTTTCATTCCAGGCAGATGAAAGGAAAGTCTGATTTGAGTTAGAATTGGTGACTCCTCCATGAAGCCCATAGGAAGGCAGGGTTGCCACCCTGTGAGGTCAGGGAAGGGAGTCATACTCTTGCATGCTAGGCCCCGGATTCTATCTCTAGTACCACAAACAATCAAAACAAAATTTTCAAAAAAAAATCACTCTGTCTAACACAATTTATTTCAGAAATACAGTCTTGGCCATTTCTGAGAACTGGCTATTGGCATGTTGAATTAGAACCCAGTGGCTTTCACCCTGGAGCCTGGAGCAAGTTAAAAACAGAAAGCTAGATACAGAAAGGGCCATGTAGAACAGGCATAGTAGTGTTACCCTGAACCAAGGTCAAAGTAAAGCCATAGGGAGTAAAAGAAAAGTCATGTAAGACAAGAGAGGTCCCATGATAGTTGACTCACCTAGGAGCCCAGGTTAGAACGTGTCTGAAAGGGTATAATAATAACAAGCATCAAATATAACTGGATAGTGAAATCGGCAATGGACATAGTGTTGACAAGACTAGGAAGAACACCACTTAGGAGCCTGAGGCAGGTGATTATACGGGAGAAGCAGAGTGAAGGCTGGAAAACTGAAGACTGGGGGTGGAGTGGTTGGATAGAAAGTCATAAGGGTGGATGGAAACAACTCATCAGTAGTATGTCTGTGGACTAATAGAATCCAATAAAGTATGTGGAATGGCAGTCACATGAAAAACACAGGATGCCTAATATCTCCAAGCCCATGTGGTGTCACACCTCTCCGATTCCAGTACTTGGAAGGCTAAGACAGTAGGATAAATTTAAAAGACAGCCTGGGTCACATAATAAGAACCGTCTCGAAACAAATATATCTCTAAGGAGCCTAACAGGCTTGAAAAGCAGATACTACTCTTGTTACCCAAGGTCAGAGAGAGTCTATTCAATCTGCTCTTCTAGAGGACCAAGGTTTGGTTCTGAGAACCCACATGGTAGCTCACAACTCTCTGTAACTCCAAATCCATGAGATCTGACACCTCCCTGAAGACTGCACTACGTGATGCACGGGAATTCACACATAAAATAAAAAAATAAAATCTAGCTCCTATCCTTCATTAATGAAGCTTCTTTTTGAAGTAGATTCAGATCATTACAAAAAGCCACAATTACTCAAAAAGCAGAGATCAACTGATGGTAGGTGCTTGTCCCCAACTAATACACTGCAACACTATCCTTACACTTAAGCCTCAGGGAACACGGTGGAAGAAGTGGCAGAAAATTTTAAGAGTCTGAGGACTAAAACATAAATACATAAAAAATAAATCGATAGATTTGGAGAAATGGTTCAGGACTGGTTCTGTGATCATTTCACAATAGGATAGAGTATCTCCAACACTTGGTTAGACAAGTCATTGAATTAATTTGTGTTTAGAAGGGTGAAAATATTGATAACAATGAGTAATATTAAGTAATTAAAAAGTTTGCTAAATTATCATTACTATGAAGTGGCAAGATAAAGATCTCAGTGGGTTAATGAAGACTAATGAACAGATAACACAGGGATGAAAAACTCTGGGAATTTAGGCAAGGGCAGTGACAAGATAACTCAGAGCTTGAAGATGCCAGGGAAACGGAATATCATGAAGGGCTGGCAAAGTTTCTGCTGTGACTATGGTGCAATTAGCTAACAAGAATGGAGTAGAGGTCAAGTCCAACATGTCTAATGGGATTCTTGTCCCTTCAACCCCATTTGGCTCTGAATAATAACCCTGCCAGACTGCTACCTCTCCTTACCCCATATAGGGGTTCCATGTCAACTGGCAGCAGATTAATCAATCCAACCTTCTCTGTTCTCTCTTCTCCCTCATTACTGTCTTAGATGTTCCAATCATCAGCTTGTGCCTACTGAGCTTTCTTTGAGAAATCCAGAATTTCATGAAGCAACATTTGTAACATCTTGAGGCAGTGTGAGGAAAAATGAGCTACAGAACTTGGCTGACATATTCCCACTTGTAAAGGCCATAGAAAGTAGAAGAAATCAGCAAAAGAACAAGAAGAAAACCAAAGGATTCATAGAAAGAACAACATTTTAAAAAGCAGGGCTGGGGCTGGAGAGATGGCTCAGAGGTTAAGAGTATTGCCTGCTCTTCCAAAGGTCCTGAGTTCAATTCCCAGCAACCACATGGTGGCTCATGACCATCTGTAATGCCCTCTTCTGGCCTGCAGGCATACACACAGACAGAATATTGTATACATAATAAATAAATATTTTAAAAAAAGCAGGGCTGAAGGTGATTAAAATCATACACAGCATCATCGCAGCAAAACCTTTGACCACCGAAACAGAGCAACTTCCAGGATAGTCAGGTCTACACAGAGAAACCCTGTCTCAAAACATAATCCTGTAAACTCCAAAAAAAAGGAGCCAGAGGAAAATAAAACTGATCATATTCAAAACATCACCATCTAAACAGCAATAACTAATAGACCAGCTTGACTCCATTTTAAGATTAGAAGCCATCTTATTACAAGGTCAAAATAAGTTCATTCCTATTTTTTGTAAAACTTAAGTTTGACAGTATCTTGACCCATTTTCTGGGATTTGACATGTTCCACACCCTCTACTCTGATCATACTCTGACCTCCATTCTGATAAAATAAGGTGTTCTGCCAAATAATGTTGAGATGTTCTGACAAGTTCCACTGTAACCAAAAACCCTTGGAAACTTCCTAGCCTTGATATTTTTGAGCTATATAAGTCCCATTTTTTTTTTCTGTTTTCAATGCTATTCTCTCAGTCCTTGCTTTAGGGAGATGCCCTGTCAGACAGAAAATAAGGTTGTTTAATTTGACCAAAACTTTTTGTCACAGTGGTATTTACTCTCATTCAGTGGTATTAACACAAAGTTTTCACAAAGTTGAAAACACAGTGGTTTTCAACACAAAGAAAAACCAGAATAGATTGTTTTCCAAATGTATAGTATTTCAAAGAAATAAATCCTAACCCAGAAATCTATGTCCAGCAAAGATATCTTTTAAAAATAAAATAGGGGTAAAATGACTCTGCAGGTAAAGACAAATGCTGCTAAGTCTGACCACCTAAGGTGACATAGTAGGAGAGAACTGACTTCTGAAAGTTTCCCTGTGGCCTCCACATGTGCCCATATACACATAGAAATAAATAAATGTGCCCATATACACATAGAAATAAATAAATGTAACAAAAACTATTAAAAGAAGAAAGAGAACAGAGCATGCACATCCATCATTCTTTGTCTCTTGACTGTGGGTTACCTTTAAGCTCCTCCTGCCATGATTTCCCTGAAATGATGAACTTTACCCTCAAACTGTGAGCCAAAATAAGCTCTTTCTCCCTTGAGTTTGTCAGGACTTTTTTTTAATCACCACGACAGAAAAAGTAACTAGTAAATCAACTCCTTGGCAGCACTCCAGGATGAGAAAGCCAGACAACTCATAGATAGTAACTGTGCATTATAAAGAGCTAAAGAAAATAGTGCTTCTCGACCACACTACTGTACTCTACACTCCTATTTTTAACAAACAATTAATTTAAGCAAAAGGATGATATTGGTAAATCTGAGGGTCCCCATAAAAGTGGAGGGAGAAAACTGAGTCCATACAACTGTGTTCTGAACTCCTCACATGTGCCCCTCCAATTATTCACT